CGCTCACTTTGTGGGTGGACCTGCCCATTCTCCGATCACCGGGGGTGCCCCGGTCTTTCCCTTGGAGGTTCTGGAGGACGGAACAGTTTGAGCCAGAGTTCCTTGCGGGCGCTGTTCCCCATCTCTGCGCCATGTTGCTTGCCCCTAAGGGGGATCCAGACACCCTTGACATCCCCACCCCTTGCACTCACGCGGAGGTGGTAGCGGGACCTTACGCCCCATACTGGAGAGCAGCTAAGGAGGCAGAGATGGCATCTTACAGGTCCACATGCACCTACGTCGACGCAGTTCCCCCACCTAGGACGAATGTCGTTAGTGGCCGGTGGCGCTGTAAGGTGAAGCGGCCGCCTGGATCACCACCAGTGTTCAAGGCACGCTACGTGGCGAGAGGCTTCAGCCAGCGCGAGGGGGCGGACTTCTTTCAGACCTTCGCTCCCCACCCCAAAGATGACCACTCTTCAGGTGTTGCTGCACATTGCAGCCCAGCGCGACTACGAGTTGCACTCCCCGGACTTCTCAATAGCGTGGGAGCCTACATGAGCAGATCTGGCTGCGTCGTCTGCCTGGCTTCACTGGCTCTTTCCCTGCTGGGACCCAGTGGCAGCTGCGCCGACCAGTCTACGGCCTGCGTCAGGCTCCCTAGAAGTGGCACGACACGCTTTGCATGACACTTGCAGCACTTGGTTTCTTTCCGTCATCTGCTGACCCTTCGCTTTTCTTGCGTCGTGGCTCCACCCCGTTCTTTGTTCTGGTTTACGTCGACGACCTGGTCTTTGCAACTCTCGACAGCACAACACTGGCCTTCGTGAAGGAGGAACTGCAGAGGAGACACACTTGCACTGACCTTGGTGAGCTGCAGCACTACCTTGGCCTGCAGATCACCAGGGACATGGCAGCTCGCACCATTACACTGACGCAGTCGCATATGGTCGAGCAGACCCTCACGCAGTTCCGCTTCCCGTTCTCCACTGTACAGCTCACCCCTCTTGCTGTGGATCATGGGCTCACAGCTCCACCTTCGGATGAGTCATTAGAGTCCAGCGGTCCATACCCTGAGTTGGTGGGTTGTCTCATATACCTGATGACCTGCACTCGCCCTGATTTGTCTTTCCCTCTCAGCGTCCTTGCGTGCTTTGTTGCGCCTAGGAGACACCGACCATCGCACATGGCGGTTCCAAAGAGGGTGCTGAAGTATGTGGCGAGTACATCAGGCATGGGACTTGTCCTTGGAGGGAAACATCCAGTTACACTTACAGGTTTCTTGGACTCATCGTACGCAGACTACGGTCAGACGTATAGGTCCTCACAAGGCTACTGCTTCAGCCTTGGGACAGGAGTTGTCTCGTGGAGGTCGACTCGTGCGTCGTCTGTCACTGGCTCCAGCTGCGAGGCAGAGGTGTACGCAGCGGTCATGGCCGCGCAGGAGCTTCGCTGGCTGTCTTACCTCCTCACCGACCTTGGTGAGTGGCCTCGCTCCCCCCCAGTCTTGTTCGCTCACAACATGTCTGCTGTCTTGTTGTGCGAGGAGCCCCAACTGGTTGGGAAATCGAAGCACATCCAACTTCGTTACTTCCTGCTGCGAGAGTTGCAGCAGCGTGGCCAGGCCCACGTCGTCTGTGTGGTCTCTGAGGCCAACATTGCAGATAAATTCACCAAGGGGTTGCCGCCTTGTTATCACCAGTGTTTCTGCACCCAGTTGGGCCTTGTGCCCACCCGTCCTCACATGCTTCCGTAGAGATGCTTGTCTTGCCTATCTTGTACTCTTCATCTCTTATATTTGCTATCTCATTGCATGTGAACTGGCCTTGTGGCCCCTTGCTTGCTCTCGGACTGTGTAGTGATCTCGAGATCCACCCTGAGATTTGTATTGTTCTTGTGGACAGGTCTTGTGACCATTCTGTATCCTTGATGACTGGTCCTGTGCTTCTTACTCTCAAACTGCGTGGTGGTCATGAGATCCACCCTGAGACAACTGTCGCTCTCCACATGACTACAGTCATCTAGACTATGGGGGTGTGTCAACATATATATTTATATGTTGTATTGTCTAGTCTATGTATTACATCATGTTTCCTCGGGTTAAGATTAGGTTTGATATAAACTTGCTGTATTCTCACTTTCCACTCAATTCATTCTCACGTTCATAGTTTGATAGCCAGCCCCCAGCAGAAGCTTGAAGATGGCATCAGTCATTCGAGGGTACAAGAAGAGATATCACATTGACACATATGATATTGCTTCACCACCCCCTCTTCCATTCTTCCAACAGCACTACCACGCTAGCTTCGACTATCCAGGCAGTCCCCAACATGGGCCTGAAGATGGCATCAGTGGTGGCAGGGGGCAGTAAGATCAAACATCCCGTCAGCATCCCCCTCCAGACAGCATTGAGACCATGACGTCATGAACTCGACTTCCTTCTTGCTTCGCCTTCCCACCTCCCACCCCCCCTTCCATGCCCCCATCAGCACTGTTCCTACCACCTTCAACTCTCGAGTAGGAACCCATCAATGTCTGAAGATGCCATCAGTGGTCGTTGGGGCCAACTTGATCTCACATTCCCTCTTGCTTTACCATGCCACCAACCATTCCCCCCTCCCCCCCCTCTCATCCCCCCACCCATCACCCCACCAGCATCATTTTCCCAGCTTCAACTATCCAGCCAGCTGCCAACAAAAAGCCTGAAAATGGCACCAGTGGTGCCTGGAGGGAGCATGAGCTCACATCCCTTCCTGATTCACCATTCCTCCTTTTATCCCCCCTCCTATCCCTCCTCCCATCAACCCAGAAGCACTGCTCCAGCTATCCAGCCAGCCGCGAGTAAGAGCTTGAAAATGGCATCAGTGGTGGTAGGAGGAAGGCGGAAGAGTTGATCCATCATTGTTCGTGAGATGGTACCTCCTGAGAGGGCTGCTTGATGTAAGATGGCCTGATGGTGTGTATGGGTTGGGAAGAGAAAGGGAGGAGGGGGGCAGGAGGGGTGGTGTCAGGCAAAAGCCAGGGCATCTGCTCATGATGCCTCAGTGGTGGCTAGGGGCAGGCGAAGGAGTTGGCACATAGCTGCTCATGATGCCTCCCCCTGATAAGCGTGTTTGCTATAAAATGACCTGATGAGCCAGGTGGGTGAGGGAGGATGGATGGAAAGAGACAAGGTGGGTAGAATAAGACAGGGTGGGAGGGGGTATGGTGCACTGCTGCTCGTGAAATGCCTTCCGAGGACATTACTGCTTAATGTATAATACTAAGAATCTCACTTGTTTGGCATGGAGGTAGTGTGCAGGCAACAACCAAGTTCTAAGGCCGTAACTGTATGGGCGTCGAAACTCAAAACTCCTTCACCAAACTCACCTGCTTGGCACGGAGGTTGTGTGCTGGCAGCAGGCACATGTGCGTACACTGATCACGACCATGTGCGTACACTGATCACGACCATGTGCGCACGTCAGGGTGTGGCGTTGTCCACGGGAGTGGACGGCATGATCCAGAAGACATGCACAACAGGGAGAAAGGAAGTGGATGCATGTGTTAGAAGGAGAAAGGAATGAAAGGAGGTAGTGATGAAGGAAAGAGGTCTAGCCACAAGCATGGACTAAATAAGCAGAGACGGTTTGGAGGAAGAACAGAGCAGCCAGAACAACACAAGGAGGCATGAAGGTAGCATGGAGGGGAGCATGCATATAGGTCTATGTATATATAGATAAGCATATATGCCCATGTTTATATGCACATGAATATAGGCCCAACCATATATGCACATGTATTTATGCCCATGTATATATATGCACATATGCCCATGTATATAGGCGAAAATTCCACATACACACGGTAACTGCAAGGATATGCACATGCATATTTGCACATGTATCGATGCACATATATACATAAGGTGGGTGGCATGGAGACATCAGCTGGACAATTACGAACGCATGTCTCATATTTGAATGTTATCATGTTGCAAACATAACGGGGTAGTAATGGCTTTCATAGTTTCAGATGTTGCACTTAGTTTCACGTTTGCGTGCTATTTGGTTTTCATACACCTGGGGTGGACGGTGGAAGGCATGTGATGGCAGCCGCAATAGTAGCGGGGTTATCTTTGTGGTGAGCGTGGATGGACCGTCGGCCTAGTGACTTGCACCCTGTTGATTTCATCTCCTGGTGCAATTATTGGAGGGGATCATCGAGATGGGAGAGGAGGAAGAGAGAGGACATTTAAAGTAACAGCAACAGCAACAACAACAGTAGCACCATGTTGTTCATGTTGCTCATAACCTGCAGCAACAGACCGCATCCTTATGTGTGCTCAGGCATGTCTTATACACAATGAGACATACGTGAGAGCAAAGGGTAAGATGTATGTTACGTGGCACCTAGTGGTGGCATATGATTCCCCTCTTCGTTAGTGAAATGCGAGCACAACGTAGGATGCATGTGAAACAAGGACGTAATCAAATGTGATGTGAAATGTCAACCCTATGTAGGCAGGCATTAGCCCGACCCGACCTGTCTGAGCCGACCCGAGACGGGTATGGGTTGGGTCGGGTATACCCGACCCCAGGTATTTAGGTTCAGCTTGTTGACCCGACCCACCCTGTGTTATTCGGGTAACTTTGACCCGAGGGCGGGTCGAGTATACCCGTGGGCGGGTCGAGTATATGTCACAAAGTAGGAAACGAGAATGACTAGAAACAGGACAGTACAAGGTTTGTATAGGCAAAACCTAACAATACTATACCACATGAGGAGTGCCCCACTACAGCCTACAATATAGTTCTAACACACCCCCATAGGCAAAGTGGGGGACAAGCAAAAGAACAAAGCAAAAGTCAAGCTCAGGGTGGATCACGATGTCACCACGCATTTTGAGCACAAGCAAAAAGGCCACAAGGCCAGTTCACATGCAGAGTTATACAACGAAGAGAACAAGTAGTACAGTGATCACAACCTAGCCAGTGTAAGCATGCAGGTGCAGGTATATATAGATCATAGTACAAGCAAAGTCAAGAGGTGAGCAAGTGAGGCCAGGTAGGTACAAGACCTAACATGGTACAAAAACGCCGATGATCACAAGGCTGAAGTGCCTTGGTAAAGATATCAGCAGTGTTGGCCCAAATGGCCACGTAAGCAAGACGAAGCTGACCACGCTGCTGAAACTCTCGAGCAAGGAAGTAGCGCAGAGCAATGTGCTTCGTTCTGTGCTCCAGTCTATGCTCCTGACACAAGGCAAGCATGACCTTGTTGTCGACATACAGAACTGGAGGAGAACGAAGCGCCTCTCCCAAGTCGGTCAGTAGGTAGGTGAGCCAGTGTAACTCTTGTGCAGCCATGGCCCCAGCGTACATCTCAGCCTCGCAACTAGAGCCGAGAACAGAAGACGAACGGGTAGACCGCCACGAAACAGAGCCAGAACCAAGGCTGAAGGTATAACCCTGTGACGACCGCTGCGTAGCCAAGTCGTCAACCCAAGAAGCGTCTGCGTGACCAGTGAGGACAACTCGAGCCCGTCCTCCAAGCACGAGCCCCATGCCCGACGTACTGCACAGGGAGCGCAACACCCTCTTAGTTGCATCCATGTGCTCTGGTTGGTGTCTCCCAGGAGCAACATAGCGTGCCAGGATGCTAAGAGGGTATGACAGGTCAGGTCGAGTGCAGGTCATCAGGTACATGAGGCAGCGCACAAGCTCTGGGTATGGGCCACTCGGCTCTACGGACTCATCCGAAGGCAGAGCTGAGAGCGAGTGACCAGTAGGCAGAGGAGTGGGCTGAGGCGAGGAGTACGTGAAGCCGAAGCGCTGAAGGATCTGATGCACCATGTGTGACTGAGTCAAGGTAATGGTGCGCCGTTCTCTGTCCCGGGTGATCCGCAAGCCAAGATAGCTGCGTAGCTCACCCAGGTCTGTGCACGTGTGTCTCTTCTGCAGCTCCGACTTCACGTGCGCCAGTCCAGCAGTGTCAGCAGTAGCAAAGACCAAGTCGTCGACGTACACGAGGATGTAGAACGGCGACAGAGTCGTGTCGGTGCAGAGAAACAGCGACGGGTCAGCAGTGGAAGGAGCAAACCCAAGAGCCGCAAGAGCAGTCCTCAGTGTGTCGGGCCACTTACGAGGCGCCTGGCGGAGACCGTAGACTAGCCGCCGGAGGCTCCACTGGGTGCCAGGAGGAAACGACCCAGTGAAGCCAGGTGGGTGGCGCAGCCAGATCTCCTCATGTAGGCTGCCCTGTAGGAAGGCTGTGCTGAAGTCAAGAGACTGAAGCTCGTAGTCACGCTGAGCGGCGACGTGCAGCAGCACCCGAAGAGTGGTCATCTTCGGGGTGGGAGAGAAGGTCTGAAAGTAGTCAACTCCCTGTCGCTGACTGAAGCCTCGAGCAACATAACGCGCCTTGAAGACAGGCGGAGAACCCGGCAGCCGCTTCACCCTGAAAATCTACATGCCATCGACAATGATCGCCCCAGGTGGGGGAACCTCGTCGACGTAAGTGCCTGTGGACTTCCAGGAAGCCATATCTGCGTCCATGGCTGTCTGCCACTGAGAGGTCTGGTGCATCCGGGTCTCCCTCAGGTGCAAGGAGCATGGACATGAGATGAGGTAAAGCAGCAGCAAAGCACTGGAACTCCTCCTGCCTGTCCTCAAGGACGTCCGTGCCAAGAGCACACTCACCCCCGACGGACGGAGGACAGACAGAATCAGACCCAGCAACAAGACTGGCGGCGTAGTCGAGACGACAGTGAGCAGCAAAGTCGACAAGCTCAGCGACTAAGGCAGACGCAGCAGTGGACTCAAAGGAAGGGTCAGTGACAACAGTGGCCAGAAGTCGCGTGGCAGTAGGACGAGCAGCACGAAGGGAGTCAGACTCCGGGTCAGCAAGGGCAAGAAGAGAGGACGCAGGAGGAGACGGCAGAGGGACACGCTACGGAGCAGTAGAAGGACGCAGTGCCATCCGGTGCATGCCGGGGACAGGAGGAGGACGCTGACGCGAACCATGAATTCTAGTGCGAGCAGCACGAACAGGCGACGCAGGACGAGACTCAGGCTCACGACGCTCCGTAAGCCCTCTGGTCGGACCAGTGTAAGGAGAAGGAGCAGGCAATCGGGAGGCAGGCTGTAACTGTGACTGCGACTGGACAGGCGGTGGACACTCTAAGGAAGGAGCAGGACCAGTAGAAGGCGGGAGACCAAGAACCTGCTGAAGGAGCGGAATGAAGTACGGTCGCGGCCGCGCAGCGCCTCCAGAACCAGCAGAAACAGCACCAGCACCCCCAGCGGCAGCTCCAACTCCCGCAGCACCTCCAGCTCCAGTAGCACCACCAGCAGCTCTAGCAGCGTCAACTCCAGTACCCCCAGAGGCACCAGCTCCAGCAGCACCGCTAGCTCCAACACCCCCAGCAGCTCCAGCTCCAGCAGAACCACCAGAAGCCCAAGTAGCTCCAGTAGCGCCAGCTCCAGCACCTCCAGCAGCACCTGCTCCCGCAACACCGCCAGCGCCAGCACCTCCAGCAGCTCCAGCTCCAGGAGTACCACCAGGCTCAGCAGCTCCAGCAGCTCCAGAAGCTCCAGCAGCACCAGCTGCAGCAGGACCTCCAGTACTAGTAGCACCACTAGCTCCAGCAGCACGGCTCCAACGGCGAGCAAACCACTCGCGCAGCTGCTGTGGAGAGAGTGGCTCCCGCTGTGACAAAACACCCGAAGGACCTCGAGGCTCAGCACCCCCAGGCTCCACACGCGCAGGCGCAGCACCACCAGACTCCACACGCGCAGGCGCAGTACCCCCAGGCTCCGCACCTCCAGACTCAGCAACCCCAGGCTCAGCACCCCCAAGCTCAGCACCCCCAGACTCAGCACCCCCAGACTCAGTATCCCCAGACCCGGCACCCACAGGCTCAGCACCCCTAGTAGCACCAAAGTCAACAGCAACCTCAACAGGCTCGACTGCGTCTACCTGGGACACACCTGAGGGGGCAGGACCCTGAGGGGGAAGGGGGTCTACCGGGGGAGGACTGGCGCTAGGAAGAGCGGCGGGGGAGGGAGGGCGGCAGTGCGGTAGGGGAAGAGACGGTAGTAAGGAACCGACTCGTCAAACGTGACGTCCTGAGAGGACAGAACACGGCGCGAGGTGGGGTGGTAAGACTGCCAACCAGGCGCGTCAGGGGGGAAGCCAAGGAAGACGCAGGGAAGAGCACGGGAGGACAGTTTGTCCGCAGACAAGTTGCGGACGAAAGCTCGAGATCCCCAGACACGGAACACAGATGCATCGCCAAACTTCCCCGTCCACCGCAGAGTAGGCATGGTCTCCGGCATGGAGACCCGGGGATGGAGGTTGAGCTGATGTGCAGCGTACTGAACCGCAAACGGCCACAGAAAATGGGGAGCAGCCGCATGGATCATGGACGTACGAGCGACGTCCATGACCATGCCAATGCGGCGCTCAGCAATCCCATTTTGCTGTGGAGAGGCCGGAAGCGTGAACGTCTGGCGCATGCCCTCCGCACTACAGAAGGCTCGCAGAAGGTCGGAGGAAAACTCTCCACCTCTGTCGGAGTGCAGACGCAGAACAGGAAGGTCCGAGCCGAAACTCTCGCTGAGCTGACGACGGGCAGCGCGGATCCAGTCGATCAGCACCTCAGTGACCTCACCCTTGCGGCACAAGGGTAAGACTGTGGTGTAACTCGAGTAGTCGTCAACAACCAGCAGAAAGTAGTGCTCGTGACCCTGTCTACGGACGCGGGCTGGGCCCAACACGTCCATATGAAGAGTCTGCAGGGGAGCCTCCGTCGGAGGGAACTCGGAGGAGTGAGGAGCGGCGCACTGCCGCCCCTCGACACAAGGAACGCAGGTAGGGGCAGGCCCCGGGGGAAGGGGAGGGAGGGACCGGGGAAGACCAGTGACAAGGACACGGGGGGCCATGCCTCGGAGATGAGGCAGGGAGGGGTGACCAAGTCGGTGGTGCGAGAGGAGAGTCTGGTGAGACAGGAGGCGACACGCGCAGGGGGCAGACTCAGGACCAGACCGGGACGCTGCAGCAAACATCCGACCAGACGCAGCTACCTGACCAGACGCAGGAACTGGAGGAGACACGGTAGTCAGGGTGTACAGGTTCGACCCAGGCTGACGAGTAAACGTGGCCAGGTGCCGGCCCGTCCGTGTGCACGTACCGTGGGTCACCCGCTGACCGCCAGGAGTGAACTGGTCAACCCACACGTCCTGAAGGTCAGCTCCCGCCACCAAGTTCGTGGAGAACGAGGGGAGGTGGAGACCGGACAGGGAGCCAGACGAGACCGCCGAACACGGCAGAACCGTGGAGGAGTGCGCAAGGACCGGACCCCCAGAGGGGTCAGCTAGGGAGACTGCCACTGGCCGACTGAGCGGCGTGAGTGTGGTGCAGTCGCGAAAGAAGGAACGGGAAGCACCTGAGTCAAGGGTGAAAGTGTGCAAGACCTGAGCCGACGTGGTACCTGAGAGAGCCGCCTCACCAGTACCTGGAGCAGTAGACTCACTAGCACCTAGAGCAGGAGCCGCAATGCCCGGGTGGGGCGGAAAACACAGGTAACAGTCACCATCAGCACTAATAGTCGCAGCATACATAGCAGCAAGGATAGCATCATAATGAAGATCAAAGATAGCAACCTCCGACCTAAGCAGATCACCCTAGCGAGGGAGCTCAGTGGCGTCAGGAAACTGTGCACGCCAGGCGTCAGTCAGGCAGCCGAAACAGCGGTGCGTAGCGTGCGGCAGCTCGCACGTCTCCCCACTGCGCTCGCCGGTGCGGAGAACGTAAGCGCAGGGACCAGCACCCCCAGACCTCCCACGCCCAGCGTACCACTCACGAAGCTGCTGAGGCGACAGGGTCTCAAGAGAACGCTGCTGCTCGGGGACCAAGAACTGCGCCATGCAGCCCCACACCCATGCCAGCGACACGCCGTGCTTCTTCCCGGTGAGCAGCTGGTACGGCGCCGTCCCCGGCGGCAGCGCCGACCGCTCAAGGCAGTTGCGGACCCAGACGGCCTGCCGCAGAGCTAGGTGCCACCAGTGGTGCTGCACGCCCATGTGCAGCAGCATCGTGCGCACCGACTCCACCACAGTCCTCATCTCCCGCTCCGCCATGCCGTTCTGCTGCGGGGTGTACGGGCGGGTCAGGTCGTGGACGATCCCCTTGCCGTTCACGAAGTCGGTGAACTGCTTCCCGAGGAACTCCCCTCCCCGATCAGAGCGCAGCATCAACACCGACTTCTTTGTCTGCCTCTCACCCACCGCCAGCCACTGCACGAACTCCCGCAACGCATCCGACTTCTTGGCGACCGGCCTCACCCACACGTAGCGGGTCTTGCGGTCCTTCAGCAGCAAGAAGTACAGGCTACCATCCTTGGCAGCCACGCGAAACGACCCGCACAGGTCGATGTGCACGACGGCCAGCACTTCGTCGGCGTCAGAGCCTTTGTCGGTGAAGGTGTGTCGCGCCAGCTTCCCGCCGACGCACGAAACACACGGTGAGTCGGCGCCAGACGCCGACTTGAGGTCCAGCCCGGTGGCGACCTCGTGCTTCGCCGAGCTCCGGATGGTGTCCATGCCGACGTGCGCAAGCCTCGCGTGCAGTTTTTCCGGCGTTGCCTTCGTCCCCGAGACGCTCGCAGGGCCACTACCTCCATGCTGGGCGTCGTCTGCTTGGCCGAGCAGGGGCGCAGGTCGGTGCAGAGTACACGCCCGGTGTACGTTGCCCGGCCGAGCACCTCTCACGCCGCTGAGACGAGGAGCATCCCGTCGCCGTCCTCCTGCAGCTTCACGCCGTGCTCCTTCAGCTGGCCGGCCGAAAGTAGGTTTGCCCGGACGCCGGGCACGAACAGCACGTCGGGGATGAGCACCCGCTTCCCGGCCTCCCCTTTCAGAGCGACAGTGCCACGGCCCTGAACGTCCTGCAGCGCCCCATTGAAGCCGCGCACGTGCTTCACGTCGCCGCTCGGCCCCAGGTCGATGAAGGCCTCCTTTGTTCCCATTAGGTGGTGCGAGCAGCCGCTGTCGAGCAGGACCACCGCCGGGTTCGCCTGCACAGCTGCCGCCACCGCCTGGAAGTCCTCACCGGCCTCCGGCGCCAGCGAGACGGTCGGTTCCACGACGCCGACCAGCGAGCACGACGCCGCCTTGTCGCCTCGCTCCTTGCCGCCAGCAGAGGAGTCGGCGTACTTCGCCGTGGTCGACTTTGTCGACTGCTTCTCCTTGCGCGGTTGATTTCCTCGACGGGGACGACGGTTAGCCGACCTACCGCGGCCTCCCTTGGCGTCGTCGTCGTCGGTATCGCTGCGGTCGGGGCACTCGAAGGAGAGGTGATCGGGGTCGCCGCACAGCTAGCATTCCCGGCGTCGGCCTCCTCCTCCACGACCGCTATCCTTAGCCGACTTCTTCTTGTCGGCGTCCTTGCTCGGCTTCCAGCCACTGCTACCACTGCCGCCAGACTGCCCACGCTGCCCCGGTCGGCCACCTTGCTTCGCCGGGGCGACCAAATTCGCCTGCGCCAAGAGCTCCTGGGACCGCTCAGCTTCCTGCATCGCCTCGTCCTGCAGGATGTACGAGGTCAAATTGTCCTCGTTGAGCGTGTGCCTCGTGCTCGGCGCCATGGACAGCCGCTTCAGGAGGTTGTAGCTGCTCGAGAGCCCCTGCATGACGTGGGTGACGTACGACGCCGTCGAGTACTGGGCGCCGGCGATCCTGATGGTGGCGAGAATTCGCCGGGCTCGGTTGCAGTAGTCGGTCGCCGTCTCCTCGTCGCTCATACGCAGGTGCGTCAGCTGCCCCTCCAGCTGGGAGATGAACAAGTCGTCGGTGACTTGGTAGGTCGACCTGGCCTCCACCGGCGTTGACGCCCACGTCGACGCCGCCGTCGTTGTTCACCGGTCGAGGAGAGGCAGGCCGAGAAGGGGGGTGCTCCGCCGCCCACACGGAGCGGAGTCCTGCCTCGAGGACTGCCCAGGGTATCGCCCCGTACTCCTGGGCCTCATGGCGTCTCCTCGCATCCTCCAGCTGTGCCTCCAGGGTGTCCATCACCTCAGCGTCACCTACGCGCACGCTAGTGACTGCACGGCTGCCGGTCTACGAACACGGTTGGTGTGAGGTCGGCTAGACTGAACTACATCGCGGTGTCCTCCACGCTCACCGCACCATGCGGAGATAACCGCTGCAACGAGAGCTAGACTACGGGCTAGGCACGTGTGCTCGTGTGATCTCTGCGTTCGTTCGTTCCTTAGTCGTTTCCTTGTGCGCACACACTTGCTAGTTCACAGGGAAAGTTGGCAAGAAATCCACTAGGAAAAGTTCAGAACAATGGTTAGTAACAACATTGGCAACACAGATTACATCAGAGCTAGCTAGGCTGCTGGTCGACCTCCAGCGCAGCATGGTCGACCGCGCTCCAGCACAGCAGCGCTCGCACTGCTCCAGCGTTGCAGAGTAGCGGTGCGCCAACGTTGTAAGTCCATGGAATGCCAACGCTGCAGCAAGTCGGCTGCACAGCGTTGCACCCGCAGGACAACGGTGCACCTGATTCGCAGGTGCGTGCAGCTGGTTGGTGCACTCGTCCTTGTCACGTGCACAGCGCAGACGCCTGGCTGACTCCACGCCAGCAACTGCGCCTACCAGCCACGTCGACCTCGGGATACCACCCCCGAGGTCGGCCTCGCAGACTCCACCCCGGCGACACTCGCACACGTCGCCCGGGTATCCCGGTCGACCGGGCAACCGCGCCTGGTCGACCAGCTCCGTCCGTAGCCGGCCACACACATGACCGGCGTCCCCAGTCCGGCGTCCAGGCGCCCAGGACGCCGTTCAAACTCCCAGGTCGGCGTCCAGACGCCCAGGACGCCGTGCAGACGTCCAGGGCGGCGTCCAGCCTCCCAGGACGCCAACCAGACGTCCAGGTCGGCGTCCGGGCCCACAGGACGCCGTGCAGACGCCCAGGTCGGCGTCCAACCTCCTGGGACGCCGTGCAGACGCCTGGGTCGGCGTCCAGCCTCCCCGGACGCCGTCTAGGCGCCCAGGACGGCGTCCTCCTGCTCGGCGCCCTCCAGCCAGGCAGCCTCCAGCTCGGCGCCCTTGCAGTGGCCCCCGTGCCTACTGCTGGTTGTCGGCTGCATCCCCCGCACGTCCGACCACAAGGTCGGCTCCGCCCAAGCGAGGACAGGGCCACACAACACTCCCGTTGACAGTTCTGACAGTATACTCGTAGGGGGGTCGGGCATACCCGTGATGGCTTTTTTTTAAGGTAGTTTTTTAAGGTCGGGTAAACCAGTTATGTCAAAACATTTTTGAACAGCATTTATGCTTGTTGGTTTATTAAACCATTTATGGTTACTTGGGAAGTACAATGCTCTAGCTCACAACTCGCACCTACGGTTGGTTTAGGTGTTCTGAACGGTTTGGGGTACACATTACACAAACCGACACGGTATGACCAAATAAATAAGTAACTGTTCAAGCACCTCCAAGGCAGAAAACATCATGCAATGAAACAACAACCACAAGTCTATCTCAACAGCCCTGCACGTGTCAAAAGCCATCGCCCTCACCCTCATAACAAAGCTCCTCGAGCGTGTGTGCACAGGAGGCTCCTGCCGCTAGTGTACTGCTCCATCCATGACTTGATAGCCATAATGGCGCGAACACGGCCAGCGCTAAGGCAGTGACGTTGCCAATTAATAACGTTCCTACCATGACAAAAGGCTCGCTCACTAGCAGTGGAGGTGGCGAGCACAGCCAGGTAGTCTCGAGCCATCTCCCTCAAACCCTTGAAATCCTCCCTCACCCGCCAGTAAGCCAATAGGCAACCATCTACCTCAAACCCTTGAAATCCTCCCTCACCCGCCAGTAAGCCAATAGGCAACCATCTCCCTCAAACCCTTGAAATCCTCCCTCACCCGCCAGTAAGCCAATAGGCAACCATCTCCCTCAAACCCTTGAAATCCTCCCTCACCCGCCAGTAAGCCAATAGGCAACCACCTCTCTACCTAGGCTCACCTCATCCTTAGCCCCCCCCCCCCCCGTTAGCTTCCGCTGCTGTCCTTGTCAAACATCATATGTTCTATCTGTTTAGGCTACAGTGGGTTAGCCTATAGGGGGTACACAATTCTAGGGTTTCCTACTTGTACTCATTTCACTGCTAGTCAATTCATTCCTGTTCGCTTATTCTGACATGGTTTCAGAGCAGGTCCTTCGTTAGGACCGGTTTTTTTTTTAGGGCCCACCGCTACCTACCTACCTACGTGCGCCCTCGTGCGCCCTCGTGCGCCCTCGTGCGCCGTTCTCTGCTAGTGCGCCTTCGTGCGCCTTTCGTGCGCCCTCGTGCGCCCTCGTACGCCCTCGTGCGCCCTCGTGCGCCCTCGAGCCGCCCCTGCAGGTCCGTCAGGCCCCCGAGCCGCCTCTGCAGACCCGCCAGGCCCCCCCGAGCCGCCTGTGCAGGCCCGTCAGGCCCGAGAGCCGCCCCTGCAGCCAGCGCGCTGCCCTGCCGAGCCGCGTGTCGCCCGTGGGCGCTGCTTCTACGACTCTCGTGTCGCCCCCCCGCTGCCCCGTCGCGCTGCCCTAGTAAGCCGCGCGCGACCCCCCGCTGCCTCGTCGCGCTGCCCTGGGGAGCCGCGCGCGACCCCCGCTGTCCCGTCGCGTCGCCCTGGGGAGCCGCGCTCGGCCCCCCGCTGCCCCGTCACGACGCCCTGGGGAGCCGCGCTCGGCCCCCGCTGCCCTGTCACAACGCCCTGGTGAGCCGCGCTCGGCCCCCGCTGACTCATCGCGACGCCCTGGGGAGCCGCGCGCGACCCCCCGCTGCCCCGTCGCGACGCCCTAGGGAGCCGCGCGCGCCCCCCCCCCCCCCCCCCCCCCCCCCCCCCCCGCTGCCCCGTCGCTGCGCCCTGGGGAGCCGCGCGCCGCCCGCCCCCCCCCCCCCTCGCTGCAGCCCGCGAGCCGCCTCTGCAGCGCCGAGTGCGCTCTGCCAAACCCTAAAATAAATAATTAATTAAAAAAAAAAAAAGGGAGTCGCCACCGCTACAGCAGCCGCCCCTGGAGCCGCCCGCCGCTGCAGCAGCCGCCCCTGGAGCCGCTCGCCACTGCAGCAGCAGCCCCTAGAGCCGCCCGCCGCTGCAGCAGCCGCCCCTGGCCCCTGGAGTCGCCACCGCTGCAGCAGCCGCCCCTGGCCCCTGGAGTCGCACGCCACTGCAGCAGCAGCCCTTGGAGCCGCCCGCCACTGCAGCAGCAGCCACTGGAGCCGCCCGCCGCTGCAGCAGCCGCCCCTGGAGCCGCCCGCCGCTGCAGCAGCCGCCTTGCGCCTGCCGCGCCGACCACTGGTGAGCACTGCCCTGTCTGCACTACTAGCGCTACTACTGCTGCTCCTGCTTTTAGTGCCGCTACTGCTGCTACTGCTGCTCCTGGCTTCGCCAGATGCAGCTCCAGGGTCGTCCGCGTTTCTCCCTCACGTCACTACAGCTTCGTGAGTGGTACGCCAGCTGGTGTGGTCGGAGTGGCAGCAGTGGGAGTCGTTCCGGAGTCGGTAGTTTGGGAGCTGCTTGTAGTGGCCCAGTGCGGCAGCAGCAGCAGCGTCCGCCCCCGACCCCTACAGGCCGACAGCTGCATGAGTGGTACGCTCAGAGTGGGGGGTGTTCGGGCACTGTCCGCTGCCCCTACGTCATTCGCACAGGTGATCGGGCTGGTCAGACCTGTGGGACGCTTGGGCACACTGAGGCTCGCTGCTTTGCTTCTCTGAGTGACACCTGGCGTGAGGTGTTTGGCGATGAGGCCGAGTCCCCCCCCTGGCTGGAGCTGCTGCACGCTCGGGTTGACGTCTTTGCTCGCGACTTTGACAGTGTCCTTACTGCCGTGTCTGTCCGGGCTGCTGCTCTAGGTGCCAGTGCGTCTGCTGTGACAGGTGCTTGTGTGTCAGCTGCCCCAGGTGCTGGTGCGGCTACTGCTCTAGGTGCCTGCGTGTCCGCTACCCCCGGTGCTGGTGAGACTGCTGCTTCAGGTACGACTGAGTCCACTGAGGCACTACACACCTTCACTCTAGACTCAGGCGCTTCGCGCTGTTTCTTTCGTGACCGCACTGCCCTTGAGCCACTTACTCGGCCAGTTGCTGTCTCCCTCGCTGACCCCTCTGGGGGTCCGGTCATTGCGACCTCCTCCACTGTCCTTCCTTGTCCTGCGGTCCCGTCGGGCACACTGTCCGGTCTCCACCTCCCCTCGTTCTCTACGAACTTGGTGGCGGGTTGTACCCTCCAGGACGGGGGTGTTCACCAGTTCACTCCCGCCTACGAGCGCGTGACACACTGCACGTGTGCTCAGACGGGCCGCCACTTGGCTACCTTCACTCGGCAGCCGGGGTCGGACCTGTACACACTGACCACTGAGTCCCCTCAGGTAGCTGCGTCTGCGTCTGCGTCAGGTCAGCTGTCTGCCCCCTGCTCGTGTCGCTCTCTGGCGCACGAGACTGTCCTCTGGCACCACCGACTTGGTCACCCGTCGGTGCAGCGGCTTCGTGCCATGCACCAACGGTTCCTTGTCTCTGGTCTTCCCCGGGTCCTGCCTCCCCTCCCACCCTCGCCTGCTCCTACCTGTCTTCCCTGTGTCGAGGGGCGGCAGCGCGCCGCTCCTCACTCCTCCTCGTTTCCCCCGACGACTGCTCCCTTGCAGACGCTCCACATGGACGTGTGGGGCCCAGCCCGCGTCCGTGGTCAGGGTCGGGAGAGGTACTTCCTGATCGTTGTTGATGACTTCTCGCGCTACACCACGGTCTTCCCCT